AATATAGATAATACAAACCCTAAGGACATGATCTATGCTAGCTCAACATATACACAAACTAATAAAAATTATTATTATTTTTTTAGGCTGAGCTGTGCAGTTTTTGTTTAGCAAAAAAATTCCCTCGCAGCAATGCCACATATTCAGTCTTTCTCCTGGAGATTGAAATCTGACCTTAGTTCCTCCACAGACTGTAATATGTACACATACACGTGTTAACAGAACATTGTTCCACATCATCGCAAGCAAGGAATACATAGATGCCAGCCGAAAACTGATTAAAGGAAAACATTAAAACTAAATATTTGTATTTCTCATCTTGGAGTGTTCCTATCATGGTGTAGCTTTAGGGCTCCCCTACTGTTTCAATAAAAAAAAAAAAAAAAAAAAAAATTCTAAATTATTTACCCAATGCTGAGACCATCTAATCGTACTGCTCTGCTCAATCCCCATTTATCGAAGCATTGGGGCCGTGTCCCTCAATAAAATGTTTCTCATAGTATATCTAATGCTTCTCTAGGAGAAGTGCTCACACCCACCTTGAGACCTTATTCAAAGCGAGTTACGGGAAATCCTCCTGGCAGACGACTTTTATGAAAGTGACCATTTTTAGAGCTGTCAAAATGGATAGTTGGAGGCCTGCTAGCCCAACAATGTATAACACCAATTGTCTTAAAAGCGAGAGGATGGAGAAAAGGAATTTGTTAGCTCCTTACTAGTTTACGGTTACCGTCCATAGGGTGCAGATTTCTCTCCACACCTGTGGGAATGAGATGGCAGATCGCTGAGCCTTCTATATTTACTCTTGGGACCAGAGATCACATTCTTATTTGTGCAGTGGACATGACTGAGTGTTGACGCTCTCTAAATTACTGGGGAGTTCTCGCAGAATACATTCGTGTTTTCTGTTTGCTTGTGTTTTTGTGCACAGGAAATAAGACATAATAATGCGCAGGAAGTTAAAAATATCATGCCATACAAGTTAACGCTTGGTGAGCTGCCTGAAGAAGGCAGGCAGCAACTGGTGGGGTAGTTAAAGGAACACTCTAAGCACCCTAAACACTACAGTGCGCTGTAGTGATTATGGTGCCATGAGTTGCCCTGATGCCACCCATTACATGTTCTCAAATTGATTTAGAATTGATTGACTTCTTACTTGGGATCCGGAATGGCTCCTCCCCAGCTCCAGTACATCAGACAGAGAACTTCAGTTCTCTGTGTGAGCTAAGGCTGGCTGCACAGGGCATAGTTTGTTGGCTGAGAGCAATCAGTAGCTTATGGGCTAGCTCTGCCCTGCAGATCAAACAGCTCTCTGACATGAGCAGTGAAAATGGAAGAAGCAATGTTTTCAAAGTCAGGCCATTATAAAAGAATTTGACTATTTAGACTATGGGGTGGGGTTGCTAGGGCACTCCTGGCACTATTACTACTACGGTGTGCTCTAGTGGTGATGGTGCTTGAAGTGTCCCTTGAAAGACAAGATACACACAAGGGGGGCTGGGGACCTTAAATATGTTCTTTCTTCCCCCACTACATCCAATACCACCCCATTACAGCTCCTGTTCCCCCACAAAATGCGGGACTGTCCCGGGCGATGGACACATAGGCACCCTAACCCCCAGTCCCACACACTACAGCTCTTGACACACTACAGCTCTTGTCCCCCTCTAAAGCCTCTACACTCCCAAATTACAACCCTTTCTGTAACACAAGTAGGTACATGTGGGCAGTGCGTGTATGTGGGTGTGATGTAGATTTGTGTAGCTTGCAAGTTGCTGGGTACAAGGGGACCCCATGATCTCCATTACCCAGGGGCCCCATGAGTTGTCAGCCCATCCCTGGAGAGAAGGTAAAAATATAAACTGAATATATCATACATTGCCTATGTGGGAATTCAGGTAAAGTAACCTTGCCATGACAGGTTATATTTAACCCCTTAAGGACACATGACATGTGTGACATGTCATGATTCCCTTTTATTCCAGAAGTTTGGTCCTTAAATATGAGGGAATAATTATCAATAAAGCTGTGACACACACCCTTTGGCTTAAATATATCTGGTCTGTTATCATTTGGTGGAGTGTTATAGGGAGATAAATAAGTAGTCATGACATTTGTTTTTTTAACTGCACAGCTGTCTAATGAATGTGGTGCTAATGTAACATTACAATTACTATACTCAATCTTTAAAAGTCACAATTTTAATGTTGAAGAGAATCCGAATTCATAATTTCAGATTTGCCTAATAATATTGCTGTCTGTCCTCATATGACACATACAATATAAAGTTTGCTTTGTGCAACAGAGAGTCTCTGGGCGGATCAATCTTTAATCTTGGATTAGTGTGTTTACATTTAGCATCAATATTTTTGTATTACTGTCAGTGTATAAAAGACACGATAACAATGCCTGGATTATTTAAAGTAGAACATTAACTTTGCTGTTAATGACAGATCCATTCCTTGTTATATCGCCCAAGTAAATGCTATCGAAGTGATCACTAAGATGAGTAATGCTGCAGAGATAATTAAAAATTATACTTACCTCCACAGCAGTTTCTTTGTTTAGATGTCACCCTATGTTATGCGTGCTCACACATGGTCAGCTATTGTGCACAGAAATATCATTCATTGGCCTTTTGTCAATAGTGCCACAGTGACACCAAAACCATTACAACAACCGTCCCACCCTGTAAGTAGTCAAACTGTTTTAGAATGGCTTGATTTCTCACTTCGGCATGGCTGGCGCTAGACTATTTTGCATCTCAGGAAAGACTAGTATGTCCCTCCTGCCCATCTTTTTATCTTAGTCCCCCCAAGCCACTTTGTGTGTCTCTTTGTCTATCTGTCCGTTCCTCTTGTCTTTTTGTGGTCTTTTTCTCCCTCCTGTTCACCTCTCCATGTTGCGTTGGCGAGCGTACCGCAGCAGAGAATGTTCTACTTCATACCCAGTCTGACAGGAAGCTGAATATTGATCCCAGCGAGCAGCCAGGGACTGCCCCCCAAGGCCGGTGCGCCGTAGGCGGCTGCTTAGTTTGCCTAGAGGTAGCGCTGGCCCTGCACTTGGTATCTGCCAGTCGCAACTCCCCACCTTAGTGGATGTGGAAATAAAAGCTGGAAGCTCTGATTAGGAGCACCTGTAAGCTCTCCTGAGTGTAAACATTTAATGGTGTGACTAATAACCTGGAGTTCACTGGCAACTGATCCCCACTGTAGTGGAGGCAGGGAGTGGTGGTCAGAGGACCCCAGGTAAGAAGTCAAACCGTTCTAGAATAGTTTGACTACATAAAAATGAGGGGTGCCAGAGCATGCTTGAAGTTGTTTTGGTGCTTGGAGTGTTTACATGCCATGCTTGACTGTGCCTGTATAGCTAGACATCCATTATAAGTAAAACATGAAAATTACTTAGTTTTAGCAAAACAAAACCTGTGCAAACATCTCAGTGCCAATTTAAAGGTACACTAATAATTTAATCTGAGCCAGATCCCTATATTTCATGGTTTAGAATAGATTCTATGAGGATAAACCTGTGTAGACCACTGATCTCCCTTTTCACCTGCTATTTAAAGGGACTCTCCAGTGCCAGGAAAACAAACCGTTTTCTTGGCACTGGAGGTCCTCTCTCCCTCCCATCCCAAGTTGCTGAAGGGGTTAAAACCCCTTCAGTGACTTACCTGTATCCAGCGCCAATGTCCCTCGGCGCTGGGTCAGGGTCCGCCCACGCCCCTCCTTCCTCCGGCGGGGGAGACCTATTGCGCATTAGACCTCCCCATAGGAAAGCATTAAATAATGCTTTCCAACTGGGATTTCAGCGACGCTGGAGGTCCTCACACAGCGTGAGAACGTCCAGCGACGTTATAGCACACTTTTCGTGTTCTATGAACACGGAAGTGTCCTTTAGTGGCTGTCTAGTAGACAGCCACTAGAGGAGGACTAAACCCTTAAAGGTAAATATTGCAGTTTATGAAAACTGCAATAATTACACTTCCAGGGTTAAGGGTAGTGGGAGTTGGCACCCAGACCACTCCAATGGGCAGAAGTGGTCTGGGTGCCTGGAGTGACCCTTTAATGTATTTAGTAAAAATGGAAATTCGTGGTTTTCTGTTTCCAAGAGGTTCTGAAGCAACTGTTCTACTCCCACATGTCTTTTCTAAACCGACCCCTTAGAATGCAATTAAGGGGACAGTTATATGAGTCCCGGTGTGAAGGAAGGTTACTTATGCCCTGCCATAAAGCGACAAGTACAAGCGTGACACCTATATCGTTTTACCGCAGGTAACAATCCAAGCTGTATTGTGCCCAGTAATAATGCCACATAACGCGAGTCTGTGCACTAGCTCTCGGGGTGGGAGGGGAGGCTGCTGGAGCTCTGTGAAAATGATGCTCTTTTTTTTTTTTCAATAGGAGAAAGAGCTTCTTCCGTGTGTGTGTATAACCCCTCCCCTATGAGAGGAAGAGGCCGGAGTAGGGGAGCTCTGCAGCTGGGTGCATGGATCTCATACAGTGCTAGGAAAGGTGGCTGCCTTCTCTCTGACCTGGAATCATCCTGCTGCTTTCTATGGCTTTCAGATGAGTAATAACTGGGATGTCTGTGGGGTTGATGTAACTGCAGAAAGGAGAGCCGATACTGAGCACACACCCCCCTCCTGGAACGTTCTGTTTGTGGATGTCCTGGATATGGAACGTTTACATTGAAGCTGCATTACTACCTTACATTCCATTATTTGTCCTGTGAGTTGACCCAGGCTGCCCTAAGACTCTGATATCTTAGGCATAGTGGGTGAATCAGTGGAAAAGACAGAAACCTTGATATACACTTCGTGAGAGGGTTAATTTTTAAGGGTTTTCCATTGATCATATTTAGGGTTACATATTAAACTGGACCAGGAAGCGAGCCAAAGCCATTTCTAGCTCCCAAATTAAAGTAGCTTTGCAGGTGAAGGTGCAGTGGGATAGGTTATATTGGTGATAAGAAGAAACTGTAATTGCTTGGCATTACTCATGGCTGCTCCAAAACTCTACTTGGTACCACTGCTGTCCTTGCTTGCCCTGTTGATTGCCTACTGGTATCGGCCAGTGGATGACAAAAATCTTCAGAATCGATTGGACACAGTGCTATCATCACTACTTCAGGCTGAGCAAAAAGTTGGACTAGCCTCGGACAGACCTCCCCGCATTGCAATTGGTAAATTACATTTATTTTAGATTTTAGTAAAACCCGTTTTTGTATATTTTTATAATTGTATTTATGTATTTTATACTAGCTTATTCAGGGCACTTTATAAAAAGATTTATAGTCAATTTAGACTTACTGGTTCCAAAGAGATTTAAGAATCCTGTCTGCTGTTTTTATAATCAATGATTTGCAACACATTTACTACACAACTTGCTTAGACAGGTGAATTTATCATTTAAAGGAGGTAATGGGGGTTGGGACAAAATGCTAGCAGAAGCTAATAAAAGGAGGTTGTGGAAAATGATCACAGAAATGGAGTACTGTGCTATATAAAGTGAAAGATAAATGGGGAATTTTGTACAAACAAGTGTTTTTTTTTTTTTTGTTTTTTTTTTTTGCGATTGTATTTCTAAATGTGGGATTATTCACTAAACCAGTCCACGTACTACAGGTTAAAAGCTGGGCGTTTTGCTTGTGCATATTTAAATGATTTAGTAGAGGGTGGTACGGTGATTTATTAATACATTTAACCCCTTCATGGAACCTGTTAGACAGTATACTTTATACTGTTCCACGTTGTAAATGCCACCTTTCTAACCCCCATGTCCACTTCTGCTTTTAGAAGTGGTTATGGTTTAAGCAATCTGTATGCTAATAGTTTCATCTCGAAATGCTACCTATAATGAGAAATTTGTGCCGGGATGTAGTTACACCTCCAACTCATGTAACTGATTAACGTGAGTGCGGTGCAAAAAAAGTCTGTTGTCAACATGCAGAGTGCTGGTGACAGACATAAGCCTTTTCTCTTGCAAGCAGCACTGCGATAGCGCCTCCAAGGAGAAGCCTAAGCTGTAGGACTGTGTTTGTGCGTCTCTTTAGCACATAGTCCTAATATCTGCCCAACCCTCCATTATTTCAGCCCTCTTAGGTCTCCCTTTCTCCACACAGTATATTTTCTAGCTTTTCCCTTGTCTGCCCTTCCCCACCCACTGTGAACCATGTGCAAACATGTATTCCTCTACGTATAGGTGGCCAGCCCCTGCTGTGAAGATTTAAAAGGTGTGTTTACTGATGGTATATCCCGTGGCATTCTGTTTTCTGTGCCGAAGCTCCACCTACTTTGGATCTCAGCCAATCTAATGCTTTCTTATAGAAAAGCATATGGAGACTTGTGAGCATGCATTTCTAAACAGTGCGCTGCACCAATCAAATGGTCTCTATGAGATCATCTGATAGAAACAGCCAGGTTTTACTCTGCTATTTTGGTGGAAGTACCTATAGTGGCTGTCAGTGTGACTACTGCTAGAGGCATTTAAAACCTGCGCTGCAGGGTTAAAATGGCAGGGGCATCCCACGCTTACATAACATCCTCACCAAATACAGTGCATGCTCATACTATAAACTAAATATCACAAAAACACAAGCGATGAGTATGCACATACCGACACAAACCTTACAAGACCTGAAAACAAATTATGACTATGAATGGCGCAAAGACCATTTAACATTCCTAGGAGTAGCCTTTACATCGACATCACATGCTTTGATGGCAGCTAACTATGTTAAACTTGTAAATACATTAAAGAACCAAATTGCAGGGTGGAGGGGCAAGTATGTCTCCTGGCTAGGTCGCATAGCGGCTACAAAAATGATACTTTTACCTAAACTCCAGTACTTGTTCCGTACTCTACACATACACCTCCCAAAGATTTTCCTACGCGAAACACAAGCTATGATTAACACATTCATATGGAACAACAAAAAACCGAGGGTGGCAGCAGCAGCATTATACAAACCCATCAAGAAAGGGGGCACAGGGATACCACACCTTGAAACGTATTACTCAGCTTCGATCCTTAGTCCCCTCATCATAGCATCCCATCTCCAACAACCACCGGAATGGCTTGCCATAGAGGCAGCATATACAAAAGGCAATAATTTGACTACACTGGTCTGGATACCACGATGCATTAGACCCAAATATACGGGAATGCTACCAACCACCAAATTGTCTCTGTCTATATGGGACGCGCTTAGGACCAAACTAGGGTCCTCCCCTCATCCGTCCCCCAGCTATGAAGCTCCAAGCCCTTACAATACTTATACCACAATTCAACGCCAAGGAATGGGCCAAGTATGGCATCACTTCCTTACACCAAATAGTAGATAACAACAAACTGATACCGTTTGCACACCTGCAGATTAAACATAAAATACCACAAACCATGAACTTCAGGTACTTACAGATAAAGTCATGGTTTCGCACACACTACCCACCAAATACCCCATTCAGACAAGACTGGCAACTAACGCCTCTTGAGCAATTATGCATACAAAACAAGCCTCCTACTAAACTAATATCCCAATTGTACAATACAATCATCCAAAGACTTTACACTGCAAAGCCCTCCTTTATCTCGAAATGGGAAATAGACCTCCAAAGGAAATTGGACGAATCTAATTGGGCTCGTATATTTACGGCAAATAGGAACCTAACACTATGCACCACACATATAGAAATGTCTAGAAAGTTACTATACCGCTGGCATCTGGTTCCGACCAAACTGAAACACATCAACCCTCATAACTCAGGGCAATGCTGGAGATGCGAAGAGCAGCCGGGCACTGTGTATCATATATGGTGGTCATGTCCAAGAATAACACCATTCTGGACTCAAATCTCGAAGCTAATAACAGAGTCCTCGAGAACGGTGATGCCCCCCCAACCCGAACAATACCTATTCCAACTATTCCCAAACAACATCACGAAAACTGTAAGGTATCTGATTTATCACATACTCATTGCAGCGCTACAAACGATCAGCAGAAACTGGCTGGCATCACACACACCAACCATAACGGAATGCACCCACATTATAGAAACCTCTAGACTATATGAAACCATGGTTAGGAAAACAAGGCCTACTCAAAAATTTTGGGTAGAAGCTTGGGAACTGTGGGACGCATACACTAGGAGAACAATTGCAAATATCGCAAATTAGGAAGAACAAAGGGGAACTCCAACACACTCCAACACACTCTGGGAATAAAGGTTGACTCATTAGTCTTCTCTACCTCGACCGAACCCCCCTCTTCCCCCACCCCCATCCAGGTTTTACCCACCTAACCCACAGATCCTATGCAAAATCAAAATGTGCGAAGTGCAGCGGAACTCCAATAGCGATGGCATTTCTAGGACATAGGCTAATGAGTGTACCTGGCTGACACAAATGTATAACAAATAATTGACTTGTACGAACTATGTATGTCAAAGAATGTCAAAGAATGTAATAATATGATGTAAATGACAATGTTATATACGCTGTATCTCTGCACTAACCTAAAAACTGCTAATAAAAAAAAAAAAATGGCAGGGGCATGGCACCCAGACCACTTCATAGAGATAGTGTCCTTGGTGCCTATAATGTCTCTTTAACATATCTAAACAAGCCCACCAAAAGCGTTAAAGGGGGGCTTTGAAGGGACAACACTGGCAGGGCCTTTCCTGGCGAAAACCATGCCAACAAGTACCCTGAGGAGTTCTTCTAGCGCCCAGTCTGAAACACCAAACACCAGCCCCCATGGCTGGCACTGCTACTGTAACCATTATTGCTTGTTTATGGCCTACCAGCCAAGAAGCCCCCATTTTCACCCATGCGATCATGTGGATTTGTATTATCTCCTAGCTAATATGGCCAAAAGATTGTGAGACAGGAGGCGAATATTTGCTCTACCTTTACTGAAACCTCCAGCAGCAAAGAAACATTGAACAAAACTTTAAAAGAAACAACCAATTAGCACAAAGACAGGCATATAATACACTCAGCAGGACCCTCCCACTTTCTCCTTCTTTGATGATGTCGCGCAGGAGAGCAGGAGATTCCTAAAGGGTGGAGTAACGAATTAACACATCCAAGGCAAAAACCAACATGAATCGAAGAACTCCGGTCTAAACTAGAAGGAAAAAAAAAAGCGAAAACTTTGTGAAAGTAAATTGTAACCACAGGTAATCACGCAGATAAACAACAACTATGTAAACTTAACTATAAAAACATCATTCAAGCAATGCAACACAGCATGCATAAAGAGACAAACATGAGAAACCAAACATAATCAAAAGAGACACAGTATGATATGCAATGCAAACCACCCCCAGCACTAAAGAAAAACAAGGGAAAGGAACAAACAATACAGGAGTGTGGGGTGGAGATAACGAGCTACAAAACATGTGGTCTATCTAGAAAATCTAAGTACGAAATGAACAGTAAGTTAACCTTCATCCTACGTGTCGGAGATAAAGCGACACATCATAAGCTCAATTATCCAAAACATGACAGAAAGCAAATGAGAAGGACCAACTTCGCCGAAAGTTGGTGTAGAGACAAATCCTTGTTATCTCGTAAGTTCTCAAAAAAATGGAAGAACCACGGAGATATCCAAGAATGAAGACTATCGCAAAGAGCAAGGTCGCAAACGCCTGATACCACGAAGTAAGTGACAGACTGTGAGATCCCTTCCCACACGAGCCCTGGAAGAGGACATGTGCTGCCGAAATGGCAGACCGAAAAAAGTTTATAGTCCGATATGACTTCCCCTGGGAGAACAAGGAGGATAGGAAATTCAGGACAGCCACCACAGGGGCAGTAAAGGAATTCAAGCGTCTCTCTACAGACGCTTGCCAAGCCAGGCTCACCATGCATGAAGATATGATATCCTGGTACCCCAAGCCCACGAGTCCCATAGCAACTCCCAAGCCAACTAAACAAGTAACAATATACTCCACATAATATGAAAGGACGTGCACAAAAAACAAATAAATGCAGGACAAACCAAACCCAGAACACACACTCTGAATTGGGGAATGCTCACCTGGAAGCAGCTGCAAAGAGGAAGTGGGAAGGGCCTGCTTAGTGTATTACTGTATATGTCTATCTTTATACTAATTGTTTCCGTTAAAAAAAGGTATAGCAAACATAAAGCCTCCTACCTTGCTGTAAAAATTCAAAATTATTTTTAGATTTTAGGCTAAATAGCTCAAGTCAAAACTTGCTTTGCTTGGATAATCTTCCCATATTGTCCTTTGTGGCCTAAAATTTGAAAATCATGTGTCAATCTCTGTAAAGAACCCTGTTTATGAAGCAGTGCAAGGCTCTATAGCTTGGTGAGGAATAAGTTGTTTACATGGTACATTCTGATTGGGTCACAATAAATGTCACTTTAAAAAAGATCCAGGTTTTCGTATTCCTTATTCTCCCCAGGGAAAGCTAATGCATGTTCAACCTGTTTGCCATGACTTTATCAGTTGGAAACTATGTGAAACTAAACCTTGTCAGACTGTAACATGCCTAATTCACTGATACTAATGCAGAAACATGAGGTAGATTGATAATTTTCTTTTGTTTGTTTCCTCTTTGAGTTAGAGAAATCACCCTCATAATGTTGTTGGTATTTAAGGGAAAATATAGTGCCAGGAAAACAAAGTTGTTTTCATGACACTGTGGCTCTCTATAGTGCCCCCCTTCCTTGTGGCCCCACCCTGTTGTGCAGAAGGGGTTAGAAATCCTGTCACTTACCCGATTTCAGCGCCGATGTCCCTCGGTGCAGGTTCAGGCTCTGCCTCCACTCCCCAGCAAATATCATCAGGCGGGGGGACCTAATATGCTTGCCGTGCTCACATTAGGACTTCCCCATGGGAAAGCATTGTATAATGCTTCGGGTGACTGTGGATGTCCTCATGCATAGCGTGAGGACGTCAGTCAGGCGACCAAAAGTCACCTAACCACCTGGAAGTCCCACTTATTAAAAAAAAAAAAACTTCAATAATTACCACTGCAGGGTTAAGGGACCTGAGACACTGCACCGCCTGCACTGCCTTTAAAGCAGCATCTGTGAGGTGTTTACATTTGGTTTTCATTGTTGCAAAAGGTAACTTCATGGTGGTGCTTGGACTAATGCAGAAATGTTTTTTTGTTTATTTATTTATTTTTTTATATATATATACTTGCCTCAGCCTTATACTTTACCCCTGTAAAAGTTTCAGTAATGTTTACTGGGGTGAGTTAAAATGGAGTATCTTTGGGGGCGGGGCCTGGCATCTAAGATGGTTGGACATGTCCCTCTGTAGCTCTTAAAGGGATCCTATAGTGCCAGTTTTCCTGGTACTATAGGCTCCTGAGCCCCCCTCAAGCGGGGCTGAAGGGGTTAAAACCCCTTCAACCACTTACCTGAATACAGCGGCGATGACCCATCAGCCGGCACGGGAGACCTAATGCGCATGCGCGGTAATAGCTGCACACGCATTAGACCTCCCCATAGGAAAGCATGTTTTCATTGCAGGATTAACCTATATCCAGTGGTTGTCAATATGACCGGCACTAGAGGAGCTTCTGCAAAATAGTGGAGTAAAGCTTCACTATTTCTATCAAATGATCTTATAGAGAACATCTGATTGGGACATTGCTCACTATCCTCATGCTATAGAAGGCATCGGATTGGCTGAAGTCGTGATCTCAATGATCTCTCCCAAAGAGGTAGAGATGCATGCTGGAGACCAGCCCAGCTTTGGCAGCAGGGCCCATGTGGGATACTATGATTACTCCGTTTTATTCCTAACTCTCATTGCTTCCTAGGATTTTTCAAAGTATGTTTATTTATCCCCTTTACTTATCAAAAATGTTTTCTGAGATCTGGAAAATACAACTCTATCCTAAAACCTGACACGTCTATCTTGATTCCCTGGCAATCATTGCTATTAATGCTTCCCTTTTCACCAACAAACTTAATTAGTGCAAGTGGAGAACCAGGAACAATGTCTGTCATCCTTTGTATTGTTTTTACGGTCTGTGCTCAGACTGAACTGGATTATGATGTCACTTGCTAAATAATTTATATATAAATTTAATTTAACCCCTTAAAGACCAAACTTCTGGAATAAAAGGGAATCATGACATGTCACACATGTCATGTGTCCTTAAGGGGTTTAAAAAAAACAAAAACAAAAACAAAAAAAAACACTTTGCATGGAAATAAAACTTAACAGCGGTTGTTGATTTTCAGTGTTTTGTTCAATTTTCAGAGATGTGATTGTTTCCCTACAAGTTATATTTTAGGTTTTGAAAGAGGGTTGTTGGTAAAATACAGTAGACTGTATCATTGTGACCTGCTTAAAACTGTAACCTTGCTTTCTGCTGATTCATGGTTACAGCATGACTAAGGGATACACATTTCAAGGGGAAAACAAGGCAAGATCTGGGTAGAGTTCAGCTTAGTATCATTGCTCAATGCTGTCTTGCAAGTCACCGATTCAGTGCATTAGCACTGTAATAGCAGAAACCATTAGTGATTTGATATGCAAGCCTCTAGATTGTAAGATCTTTAAGCACGGTTCTCTTCAACCCATTGTTCCTGTCAAAATAAATCTGTAGTGGTTTTGACTTATTTGTGTTTATATTCCCCACTTTATAAAATTGTAAAGCGCTGCAGCATAGGGTGTTGCTATATTAATACCAATTATAACAATATTGTTAGTGTAAAAACTTCCTACAAATGTTAAAAAGGAAAACTGGATTTTAAAATTTAATTTCTGGATATCGCACTTTGAGTTTGACATTGACAATAGTTGATGAGGGAACCTATCTTCTCACACGGTTACATGTTGATTCTCGTAGCATTACTTTGCATAAGTTCTATGGAGGATGGTGAAGGATCTTCCATGAGACTCTCATTTTGTAATCTTGTAAGTATGTGGGAGTACAATGGTACCAATAGTTGAATAAGGAAGATCACCGATCAGCCTCAGGCTTGTCTAATGCATCTATGACAGTAGAGCGGTTACATGGCGGTAACACTACTCTTGGTAGGCCAGACTGCAGGGAGTTGAGGGCAGGACTGAATTTACATGTCCGTTGCCTGTAGGCACAAAATTCTAAGGTGCCCCCAACTCCACCCTACCATAAAAATATTAATAAAGTAAGGTCAATGAATGTATTACACCGATTTTTTTTTTTTAAATTATTTTATTTAATCTTGCTCATATATTGATACTTGCAAATTCATATGTATGTGTTATATAATGTGTGTGTGAATTTCTGTGAATATTGTGAGTGTGTGCAGCTATGTAAATGGGGTCAGGATTAAAGATAATGTTAGAAGTGATTTGGGTAAATCAGGTTTAGGTTTGAGAGAAGTTCACATCAGAATTACATTATATAGGGTGTTTAGTATTTATTTATAAAATATTCTACCAGGAAGGATACACTGAGATTTCTCTCATTTTCAAGTATGTCCTGGGACCACAAAACATTGCATCAATACAATTATCAAACAAGTATTGAAGGGTTTTTCCGGGGGCGGAGCCTGCAGCTGCACTGGCCGGTTGCATGTTTTGAGAGCTGCCTTATGCTCAATTTATTTGCAGCCTTACGGTCTGAAATTCAGCAGCTGATGCATCCCAAAGGTGGGAGGAACTCACAGTGGTTGTTTTCTCAGTGACTTCGATCGAGATTGGTGGCTTCTTTTGGGGGCAGACTTGCACCCTACAAGAGGTCTACTCCCAGTCGGTGAAAAAGAAGGCGGCCAATCCCTCTACCTACTGCACACCACAACTCGTGAGGTTTCCTTTACACTCAGCCCCCCACCCCACCAGTGAGGGATATTCCGGTGCTTCTTACCTGTGTTGTGGTGGCGATTTATCAGCAGTTTACCACTCTTCTGTCTCTCACACAATTGCAGAGGCCAAATCTGTTCCTCGAGACCTGAAACCCTCTATCCTTGACAAATTAGATAGACTGTTGACTTTTGGTCTAAACTCACCTGACTTCTGGGTACTTCTGTGGAGGTTCTATTGGCACCTACCTTGCCTCCGATCACTTGGCAAAGCACACCTCCTATGCAGAGTATGGTCACCCGCAAGAGGACATCTGCCCTGAGAGGGAGCAGAGAACATGAAGATATTGTCTGCATAGGCGTGCTGGAAACCGATTTTGTACCAATCTCTACCATATACATGCCGGGTGCGGTACTTGCAAAAGACACCATTACAGTCGCCTTTGAGCTGAGTCTCACACTCCTCAAAAATTTGGCATCTTTGCTCTGCTTGAGCTAGCATTCCATGGGCAGGTCCGTGTCATGCTCAACTGTGCTGTATATCCAGAGGGCATAGGTTAAAAGGGGATAGATTACTGAACTGGTTTGCCTGGTATTGTGTGTCTCTACTTCTCATCACAAGGGACAATGTCACCATCGACACTTACCTGTTTTCAGCTTACAATACTATTGCTGTTGGCGTGTGTTTAATTTATATTTTAAAAACTGCATATGGTGTGTTTTTTTTGTTTTTTTCTTCAAATGAGTGCCAGGAGCTAGTTAAAGACCCCTCGGACATGTGACTTAGGCAGCCCAAGACAGAACCGCTTAAGAGGCACAATATAAGTGTCATACAGGACTCCTGCATAATAAAAAAAAAAAAAATCAGTCCTGGTGGAGGGAGCATGACTGTCAAAAAACAAATCTTCCACTTGCTTCTCAATTTATTTTCTGTGTTTGAAATTTTCTCTTGTTCCCTATGTTTATGTTTTTTGTTTTTTTTTACCTAAAACGTCAGCTTCAAGTACTCCCCATTCTGCAGGAATTGTTTGTGCACAGTTTTTGATAAATCCGTGGCTGAGTCATCATGACATTTCCTCCTGCGGTCTCCTTTAGATTTCCTGAAATGATGCCCTGGCCAATGTTGCTGGAGGTCTGATATAGACATGTCTCCTCTAGGACTGTGCTTCTCTACTTGTTCATCTAAAACAGAATGGGTGTCACAGGGATGTGGGATTTGTAGCACAAGATGGCCAGGATATATAGCGCTGGGAAAGCAGTTTTTTGTGTGGACTGGTTTATTTATTTTGGCCTTTAGCCCTGTCGTTGGCAAGCAGCATAAGGAGACCGGTCCGGGCTTGGTAGGAGGGGGACGGAGCACCACACTAGACAGCAAAAACCCAACACACTGCATACAGTACCTAATAAAGCTATGTTTTATGTTTATTTATAAAATATTTTACAAGGAAAGATACCTTGAGATTTCTCTTGTTGTCAAGTATGTCCTGGGTCCACAATACATTGCATTGATATAATAGGGTACATAAAATACAAAAACAATAATACACAATTTATACAAAATTTAACATAGAACAGGTAGGAAATATATAATCAACCATGACGGGTGCATTCTGTTTTGAGGTATGTAGAGAGGGATAAAGGATTTTAGGCCTGGGGTAGATTTGAAAGTGTGCGGGAGGTCGTTCCATAATTGCTCTGTAGGAAAAGGAGGATTGGCCCGCTTTCTTTTTGTATTGAGGTAGACTAAATAATGTGCTGGTACTGGATCGGAGGTTATAGGAGGTGGGAACGGCCCGGGAGAGCTCTTAAACACAAGGCTGGAAAGATGCTGGATGCGTCTGGATTCCTGCGACAGCCAGTTTAGTTTAGCATTTCACAATGGTGGGTCATGTAATTACATTGTAGCACAAAGCGGTAGAACGAGTTATACAATGTATTATGTTTATTAAGGTGGGTTTGCTTTGCAGGTGCATATACTACATCTCCATAATCGATGATTGGCATCAACATTTGCTATACAATATTTTCCTTTACTGTAAGGCTTAGGCAGGATTTGTTTCAGTACAGGGCACCTAGTTTTGGATAAGGCTTTGATGCAAGTTTTTCTACGTGGAGGCCAAAAGATAGATTGTGGTCTAACAACACACACAAGTATTTGAAAGAGTGGACTGCTGTCAGTGTCCTATTTGAATTTGTTTTGATGGATAGGTGGGAATTGTGTAATTTAGGTACTGTTACAAAGATCATTGTGACCGTTTTGTCAGTGTTTAGGAAGAGGGTTTTTTGGGGGGGGGGGTTGCGATCCACTTTTCTACCTCTGTAAACTGGTCTTGGAGCACAGCCTCAAGCTGCGGTAGATTGGATTTTCTCGCATAGATTACTTTGTCGTCTGCGTACATGTGTACATTTGAGGATTTGAAAACATTGGGCAGATCATTTATAAATAATGTGAATAGTAGGGGACCGAGAATGGAAGGTTAGGGAACACCACACGTGACACGGAGAGGGAGTCGCTGTCAGAAATGGACACATACTGCGAGCGATCCAATTTAGCAGACGATCACCAAAACCTGAGTTTTTGAATTTGTGCAGTAGATGGTCGTGGTCTACTGTGTCAAAGGCCTTTGCAAAATCAAGGAAAATAGATCCAGTTAGGTCTCCTTGTTCCATGCCAGTTTGGATGTCATTGCAAACTTTTAGGAGGGCAGTTGTAGTGAAGTGATTCTGGCGAAAACCCAATTGATCAGGGGTCAGATAGTTAGATTGTTGGTAATACTCACTTAGTTGCGTATAAACGCATTTTTCAAAGATTTTTGACAATACTGGGAGCAATGATATTGGGAGATAATTAGAAACCAAAGTAGTGTCACCACTTTTATGGATAGGCACTACTCTCGTAGTCTTCCAAAGTTTGGGTATGTATCCAGACACCAAGGATTCGTTAATTAGGGTTGTGACAGGTTTAACAATTGCTGGCGCACTGAGCTTCAACAGCATTGCTGGGATTTGATCAGGTCCAGATTAGTTTTTCATTTTTAGATTATTAAGGTGTTTCTTAATGACACTAACAGGTACAGGTCTGAAAATGAACTTGTCAATATTGGGTCTTTGCAAATTTAGTGGGTCCCGGTTCACATTTGTAGTTTCAGGATGAGTGTCATTTATTAGCTTGGTAATCAGGGTAGTGGAGCATCCGACAAAATAATTGTTATGATAATACTTGACCCAGTTTCCACCAGCCACTCACTGTATCCATAAATATTTATGACCAGAATATAAAATTGCATTGTTTGCACTTTGCAGTGTCTTGATGTAAGCAATGATTATAGTGCTTGGCATTAATTAATTAAAACAGGAGAGCGCAAACTTAGTAAATTAAAATTCCTTGTAGTAAAAATAAATAAAAATAAGTTTAAGCAGCTATAAACAAAATAAAGTTCCTTTAAAAATCTTTACATAAATACAATTCATAAAAAAAGTGTCAGTGCTATCTATGATATCCTTGCAGTAGGCAATCAATTGGAATGTGAAAAATCAGCAACTTATCCCTGTGATTTAGTGTGTGTGTGTGTATAATCACTCCTATACATCACAATAAGTTAGATTATACACATAAAATATATTAAAAACTTGCTTAGGAGTCCAAAAGTTCTGAATGAGTCTTTAGAGGGTTAATCTTATACTGCAGTAGAAATGTAATATCCGTAGATACACTGTGGCTTAATGTAGATTGTACCTTAAAAGGATACAAAAAAGCTTTTCATAGTGTAAAACTGCATTTATTAGTGGAAAAAAAGATTCCCTTCCCCCAAATAGAAACCCTTACATTAGCAAGTGGTGATACTTGTTTCCAAGATATCACAAACCTATTAGGTAGAATCAGAGGCTTAGCAGCCGTTTACCGTCCACTGGTCTCTGTAGTACAAAACTCCCGCCCGATCTCAGCGCTGATGAGGTGGAGTATAACGTGTAAACTGGAGACCTTGGTGTGTGGTCGATGTGAAACATGCTGTAGTCGTCAGACCTCTGTGTGTACTGAATGCCGATAGGATTCCAATTTTTGCTCAGTTAGATAGTTAGTATCAGTATTTCAAAATGAAATACTGAAAAGTGACAGAGCTGATTTAAATGGTTTAACACAGAACCAGGAGACATGCGGGCACCGTTAACATTACAACAAGCGGTAAAGGTTTTAGTGCTTAATGTAATTTTTTTGGGTTTATTTTAGATAAAACATTTTTAGCTTCTTTTCGTATTATTTTGAAATGTATACATACACTGAAATGTTAAATATACTTATATATTTTGGCTTACCTGTGCTCTAAAGATGCAGCCATTATGAAGTTTCCTTTGGTCGGAAGCACAGCTAGCCTGACAAAAAAACATTGAACGTAATCAAGAGCGACTGCGTGTTCACAAATCTTGATGACATCATGAGCAAGCGTAGGGAATCTCAATTCCTTCTCAGACTGTTTCAGACCTTCAAATAATATATGGTCTGAGCCAGGCTCGGACTGTCCATTGGGCAAATGCCCGGTGGGCTGCATGGGCCGAAGCTGATCAGAGACTATTAGCAATATATTCTTAGTTAATGGAACATAGCTGTGAAGACACAAAAATCTGAATATATAATAAAAGGTGCCCCTTTTCACACTACTTTTAAAACACTTTAAATTAACACTATAGTGTTAGGAATACAAGCATTCCAAATACAGTGTCCCTCTACCCATGATGGACTCCTGAAGGTTCATTCAGAAATGCTATGTTGCAATCCCAGGAAATAATGGATGCTCATAAAATTAGTGCTTTGTTAATCCAATAAATAGTTTGCTTTCCTTTTTTTTTTTTTTTCTCTTTAAGTTCTTAAATTAGGTCACAGTTGACAATTCTTCTCCTAGAACACAAACAAACCTCTGTTGGCTTCAAAGACAGAAAAACCTGTTGTAACACTCACGCTGCTGGTTATAGCAAATGATCTGCAACATTACAAAGAATTATATAAGCAATTTCTGAGCAAATGGATATCTGTTTTCTATCCTAATTAACCTCTCGTCCTGCAAAGCTTCTCTGGAAATTACAGCAAATAAAAAAATTAAAATCGCCTATAATTTGTGTTGTTTTTTTTTTTTAATGCAACGCTCCTTTTTCTTTGACATTTTATGTTAAAGATTTAACAGTTAACACCACAATCCAGTTCAGTGTAGGAACAGCCAAGGCACACATTGCAAAGTAGGTTGAGAAATTGAAATATTGTTTCTCCTCTTGTATTGTCTTTCATTGCTG